AACTGTTGATCGGAGGCCTTTCAGCCGAACCACATTTGCACGTTTTCCGCCCCAAGACTACATTTTGGACTTGGAAGTCACCGTCATGGAGGAAGTGCAACTCTTCTGTCCTGCCATGACGAGGGAGACATTCTTAGGGCATAGTGACAGACAGTACGGGGTTCACGCCGACCAAAATGACTGTGATACTTCGGCCAGGCGTGCGATTGCAAATGCCATGTTCGGGGCCGCCATGCGGTGGAGGACCGCGAACGATTCCTTTGAGCGCTTTGGTGGCTTGAGTTGGGGATACTATAAGAACGCATACGCCATCGTCCCTGAACTCCTTCTTCAGGGGACAAACGTGTTGGCCTGCGAGGCCTTGCTGGCTATAGCCACGTTCTCGTTACAGACGGCTGATGCCCGCACGACAGCTCAGCTGGCTTCTGCGGCGGCCCGAACCGCGCAGATCATCGGGTTGCACAGGAGGGAAACCTATGCCAACCTCGATGCCATTGAGTCGGCGCGACGTACGCGGGTATTTTGGGCAACACATATACTCAACACGGATATGATGGCAAAGTATGGTCTATCTCACCCCTTTGCTCATGACGATGTCACCGTTGAGCTCCCAGCTAAGGATGCGACCGTTTTTGATGGCATCTCACACTCGCCGTGCCTCCTTAATAGCATGGCACAACTGTCAAGGACCCAAGTCACACTCCATGGAAAATTCTCTCCACACAATCTCCAGCTGCAGTCGGGTACGGAACACCACATGATGATGATACTGTCCAATTGTGAGCTGGAAGAGTGGAAGTGCTCGCTCCCGCAAGAATCGAGGCCGGATCCCTCCACCCCATCGACGACGGGAGCGCTGGATATGCACACCGCCCTGTTGCATTTCATCTATTTTAGCACTCTGATTAAGACCAACATAAATCTGGCGCGACTCAAAAATGCGACGAGCGTTCAGCCGTCATCCTCGCTGTACTCGGACTGGGTGAATAGGGGCGCCTTTCCCAGCATAGAGCAGTCACACTCCAAGTGTACGTCGGCGGCTCGGGCAATCATTGATCTTCTACGAGTGATGCCACCTCAACCTTATGTGAATATATGGTCAGTTTCAAAAAATTATTGATTTCCTGTATAGCTTACTAACACTTCTGACAGGGTTCTTCTCGGCTATCCTATCATGGCCAGCTTGATCCTCTTATGGTCAGCACTCGAGGAACCCACAGGATCAGAGGCCCATCTCAATATCAGGGTCATGGGCCAATTTATCCAATTCCTAGCAGGATTGAAGGAAGAAGGATGCGATTTGAACAACGTCCTGGACGGCTGTTCCAAGATCTACAAGATTGCCAAATACGTCGTCCATACGCAGAGAGCCATGAGAGTGACGGCACCCTTGGAGGAAGACAATGATGTCAAGGAACAACTCGAGGTGAGATCGGATCTGACGCGCTCCTTTGATTCTGTTCGAGAGTACGACCTTCATGACTCATGCAACTACTAGGCTCTTCGCTTGAAGCTCTCTGGTGTAACGGACTGGATGCATCTTGCCCAGGGTCTACTGAGCAACATGCCTCTACTATGCACACAGGCAAGAGACATCTTTGCGGATGTACTTGGAATGGAGCAGACACATCCTGACTACGGGCCGTTTGCCCCTGAGCTGCTGATGCCACACAAACACAACGTCTTTTTCAGTTCTTGAAATGACTTATTATCTGTAAAAAAGAAAACACGTAGAAATGATACCCCATAATCCAGCTTATAACAATGCTATCAGAGCAACAAGAGAAGCCACAGTCACAGCAGCCGCCACTCGTGCAAGTTCGGCCGAACTTGATGCGCTAGATGGACTCGCTGTGGCCGAAGCCGAGGGTGTGGATGAGGCACCACCGCCGCCATTGCCTCCGGTCCCGGTGCCACTGCTCCCGCCACTTCCTCCACCGCTAGCACCACCCGTACTTGTCTGGCTGCTCCAGTATGTCTGATTCCACTCCGCAAACGACAGGCTCGAGTTGAGTCTCAGCTTGGGATCGAGATCGTCCGCCGTGATCGTCCGACTAGCAACCTGTCCGTTCCAACAATGGCGGCGGAAGCACTCCTGACACTGCTCCGGAAGTTCGATACCCGCCCTGATCAGACTGCCGCGGATCGTCGCGCAGGCGAGACAGGCAGGCCACGCCGCATCCACAGTACCGTTGCCGTAGGTCGCTAGGTTAAACGCATTGTCGACGGTGAGGTCGAACTCGTTGTCCGTGAAGGAGGACTTGAAGAAGGAAAAGTTGCTGTAGCCGGACCACGGCGAGTTGGGCAGGTAGAGCACCAGCGGCGTAGGCGGCGACGTGGCGGCGTCGCAGCCGAAGAAGGTGGGCTGCTTGGTCAGGTTCTGCGTCACCAGCGTCGCGACGTCGGGGATGCGTGGGAAGGGGATGTTGCCCTGAGCCGCCGACTGCGCCGTGTTGACGAGGTTGGTGCCGTTGATCCAGTTATACTGCGCGTCCGAGGAGGCCTCGTACACGATGACCAGGTCGACCTGGCGCTCGGGGATGATGAGGGGCCGGATGGGGTTCGTTTCTCCGCCGAGGCTGCCGTCGACGAGGAGGAGCTCGTCGACGTCCTGCATGGCGGGGTTGTAGTTCTCAAAGGGGTTCGGGTAGGTGGCCCACAGAGACTCGTTGAATGTCTGGTTGAAGGACTCGGCGGTCTGGTTGACGAGGATCACACGCCCGTCGTCTTCGAACTGAGGGGGAGGCACGATGACGGAGGTGGTTGGCGGACCCGTTTTGAGCGCCCGCTTGGCAAAGATTGGAGTGTCGTACCAGTCATCGATGAACCACGCGTCGAAAGCGTCGGCTGTAGACCCCTGGATGAAGGTGAACTTGTCGAACCCCTGGACGCACTCGCTGCTGTTCTGGGCCGTGCCGTTGGACATGGATGTTCCGAGGTACGTTGTCGGCATGAAGGCCTGGATTCTTCCACCTCGCCAGCTTCCAAACTCAAAGGGCGTCACTTCATAGGAAGTCAGATTGAATCCGTTGGTGTTGTTCCTTCCAGGCCACACGATACCACCGATTGCGGGTGACTGCCCGGGGATGACCTCGGAGAGAGCTATGATGGGCATGGGGGCATCGCCTGAAGAGAAGACGGTTCCAGACTGGGCGAGATCAGAGTAGTTGCCATAAGTACGGTTCTCTGGGAGGTAGGTTGCCCAGAACTGGCCAAAGGCGTCGGCGACGGAGACAGGAAGTCCCGTCTCTGCCTTTGCGCCAACATTTTCAAAGATGTCTGTTAGATATGTGGTGATGTTGCCGTCGGGACCAAGGGTATAATCCACAGTGAAGTTTATTTGCTTTCTTAGGGCACTTATAGAAATGAAATCATTGGCAGCCCTGCGCAAACTGTGAGCATTCCACATTCAATGGAGAGAGAGATGAAGTAAGATAGAGAACAATCGGCAGGACTTACAGTGTGCTCACGGTCAAGGCACCTCCGCCACTTAGACCAGTGATGTATGAGAGAACCTGCGTCAAACCACCCGTGCGAGCAGCGACAGCAGCCGGGTTGCGGGCGTCGAAAGCCTGCCATATACCAAGACCTCCAACACCCGACTGCGTGCCTCCCCCAGAGACGGAGAGGCCAACGACGGGATAATTGGAGGTGTTGAGACGCTGGATGTAGCCTTGGACATCGAATCCAGAAATATTTGCCAGTGTGAGGTAAGAGCTGAGCGCGGGGATAACCTTTTCGCCGCGGCTTACCTTCCAAGATGACTCCGATTGTGAGAGCCCCTGAAGATGAAAAGTCAATAGCTATTCCTAAAGTTCATGGGGTAAACCTCAATTTACCTCTGAAGCGGACCGCACCACCAAGTCTGAGGGACAGCTTGTGTAGACGGGCGCAAAGGGGTCGACGTCTCCTTGTCCCTGGGCAGCGGCGAAGCCGGCCAAGAGGAAGACACCGCTGAGGGATTGGCGGTTCATTACAGTCATGTTGTAAGTATGCTTCCTGGGCTAACAGGATACGAGTTAGATATGGAGGACCCGAAAGCTGGTCAAGCTCTATCGTGATAAAGTAGGCAAAGCTTGTGTTATCTACCAGCTCCCCAGCGCGCGAGATACGAAGTTGTTTCTACGAGACAAAGTTGTTTCCATTTGCGGGGACCGTCTGGTCGTCCCTGTCGATGAAGCCGGGGGTGATGCATCGGAACAAGACGACCACGGCATGGCGCCTCCAAAGTACCTAACCTATACGAGCCAGTGGCTCACTGGTACAACACCACGAACACCTATTGGAATCAGATATTCATATGGACTTGACGGGCTAAAGCTTGTTCGTGTTAAACATGAGGCTATTTTCTTAGGGCTGACTTACAACCATGTCAGTCCAATGAGGTCATCGAGGTCGGCCGCATCCGGCTCAAGTGGTGCATGCCCAATTCATGGTCTAAGAATGCAAACGCGCTTTCCCTCAAGCCCCTTCTTTCTTAGCTCTTCTCGGATGGGATCCGGGGCTCTGGTTACGCTAGTAGGAAGTCGGGGTCCTCAATTTTTTGTGTGCATCTGCGACTTCTCATTGAACTTGTCGATGTGCGGGATGAGTTGAAGGATCTTCCAAAAATTGAGAGAAGTGCTTCACAGCATAGTAAACCGATGTGACGAGCACGTCAGGCCCTGACGCTCCTCTGTATCAGTCATTGCACATTGTGTCTTCAAGATTTCGTTGTTTTCTCTTTGAGCAAGCTCTCGGGCAAAAGAAGAATAGGTGCTGCAACAAAAGTAAGTGGAAGCCACCTGTACCGAAAGCGGCAATGGCTGAGACTAGTTGGCCGCGTCTTCAACAACCTGATGAGATTCCACTATTCTCGCTCCGTGTCGACAAGCCTGTTAGCTGAACCCCAGGCCTGGCTCGCGTGAATTGAATCGAGTGACTCTGGAAAAGTACACTGATAATTGCTCGGTTCAGCTAAGGATGGCAAGCTAAGTCAGGCCCCAAAGGCGCATTGCCGTCTCCGCTTGATGAGTGTTTATTAGTATAGTTTGGCTATACGTCGAGGTTGCTCTATGCGACTATAAACTGAGGCCCTGATATTTGCTCAAGTGGACTTAAAAGTCGAACCGTGTAGACAGTCTCGACTCGCCAATCGTTCTGCAGCGTCTCACCCGAGAGAGAGCGAGTCTGCATCTTTTGTCCTGCATGAAAGCGGCACACTTGCCCTTTGCAAAGTAATTCATGAGACCCACTTTCATTTCCAGAAACTCCGTTTTCCAACTCTGCAGGCACCACTCCACCCCGCTTCCATTCATAAACCCATTTCCCGGCTGCATCGTCAATCCCGCCTCTCCATTTCGAGGTCCGGAATAACACAACATGGCCCTCTGGCGCAACGGTAGCGCGTTCGACTCCAGATCGAAAGGTTATCCGTTCAAATCGGGTGGGGGTCATTCTTTTTGAGCTTTCTGTAAAGCTATCGTGAGTTTTTATTGTGGTTGTGGTGGTGTTTTGGTGATGTTGCACGGGGACTCGGTTTTTGGGGTTTTGTGGGAGAAATTAGGGTTTGTGATGGAGGCAATTGTCAGGACGCCTTTATTACCAGACAGTATTCCTCAAGACTTCACTTTCTTGAGAAGAGTAGTGACTGGTATGTTGTGAGCTGGAATTCAGTTGTGTTCTTTCACCATCTAGGACGCAATACTTGGTTTTTTATTTCATCACCTGCGCCTCACTTCACAAGTTTCATACCTTCCTGCTTGGTTTACTCTGATAAACAGCGACCCAGTGGCTTTCAACATCGATCACAGGGGTACTTAATACCAGGAAGTTACACCATGAGTAATAATGAAACCCAGCATGCGTGGGGCCTTTGCCAAAACGTTCATCTATCTCACACCTCTACGTCTATTCTCTGCACCAGTTCGTTCCTTTTCTCCCACTTCTTCTTCGTCTACAATTCTATCGCACCTCGCCTCCTCTAGTTGAAGTTTTCCCGAAACGCCGCCAACGCAACGCCCTTTTCCCGCAACACGGCCTTGGCGTCTCCGTTCACCCCCTCCACCGGCCCACGCTCAAACGTGAAAACCTGCTGGACTCCCAGGCTCTCGAGGTAGTTGACGTTACGCTTATAATTCGTCGCGACCTGTGCGATACCGTGGCTGTCGTCTGAGAATGTGAAGCGTCCACCCATCGCCAACCATGCCTGTCAAAGAGAGTTAGTCGCAAAAGTCAATGATTACCATACCTCCATGATTTCTTTCGACCTTTGTAGAAAGAACCAAGAAAAGAAAAAAAAAAAGGGAGGGGGGATAATTCACCTCTGCAATAGGCCGACACGGATAAGGCTCATCAAGACCCTTCCTCAACGCACTGCTATTACACTCCAACAAGCCCCCGTACCCCTTGACGACCTCCAGATTCCTCACAATCTTCTCCCATACCCCCTTCCACTGCCTCACGTCCCTCCCCGGGTCCTCGCTCATGAGCCTCACGAGGTCAAAGTGGCCTACCACGCGCGGCTCCAGCGCCGTCAGCATCTCGTGCTGCTGGTCGTAGTACCGCGCGTACATGCTCTCCTCGTCGGGGCCGGCCGACTTCATCGCCTCGACGTACATGTCCCGGCTGTAGTCAATGGGGATGGCGTTAACGTGGTGCAGCGACCCGATAAAGTAGTCCACCGCCGGGTGGGACGCGAGAGACTTGATGAAAGGACCGTAGGCCGGGCGGTACCACTCCCCCTCGAAGCCGATGAGGAGGTCGATTTGCGGGGCGTACTTTTCGCGCAGGCGCTGGGCTTCGGCGAGGTAGGCTTCGTGACGGGGGGCGAGGATGGAGAGGGCTGTTTGGGGGTCTCCTTCTTCGAGCTGGTGAAGATTTGTCAGGAATTCGGTTTCTCATGAGAGCTATGTTCGGGGGATGTGATGAAACTGAAGTGTGTTCTTACCTCTTCAGGATAGAGATCCCCGATCTCTAGACGGGGCATGTGCTCCGTCAGACCCATGGTCTTGTAGCCAATACTGATGGCATGCTGAATGATGGCCTCGAGCTGGTCCTTTGCGTGGCCGGGGCAGAATTGCCCCGAGTGGGAGTGCATGGTGAACGCCATGGTGAGTTGATGAGTTGTGTGTGTGTATTGGGTTGGTCTACGTGAAAGAGAATGAGATGAGATGGAATGAGACGAACTCGAGATGAGTCAGGTTCCCGATGCTGGCCAAGTTCGCAAAGGCGCTGGCTGGTGACGTAGTTTGAGAGACAGTAAGTGAAAAAATCCAACTGAGCCGAGCCACGTCTCACAGTTTCAATAAACGGTGAAATACAATATCTACAAATGTCTAAAGATGAGATGCGATATCCCAGCCGAATATGTGTAACAGGACTCAGGGATCTCCGATCACTTCAAGATAAGAACCTGGTCAATCGGCGGCGACTTAGTTTGGGATGCGTAAAACATGCGCTGCAATGGGTTCCCCACCAAAGAAAAATTTCGGGGCCCGACGGGTAGCCGCAGCAAATCGCTGACGTTGATCCGTCCACGTTGACGCGCATAATCCCGCTGCGGTGTATATCGAGTCTCCGCGTGCCAAGGCTTTTGGCCGCGTCCGCGGACGCCCACGAGGTTACATGAGATCTCGGTACCATGTCACATTTATAGGCATTTCGGCCAATCATGGCTTTACGTTGACAACGTCTCCAATGGCTTCAATGGCAGCATCGAAGTACATGATTAATACGAGAAAAGAGTGTTATAGTATTTATAGAGGAACCAGAGGATCAAGAAGAAAGGGAATAACTCGGACAAGAGGGTATCAAGACGGTGAACTCCAAGTACACGGCTCAAAAAGCCAGATCCGCAGAAACAAGGTTCTATACTTAGAGAGAAGCGTTGGGCAAAGGAGACAAAATAAACAAATGACTTTTTAAAGACTGACGGCCCAAATCTGTGTCAGTGCTTCCACTCCAACTTCTCGGTCTGTGGCACAGCGCACTACTGCCTCTGCGGAGTTTCCGGGATATCCCAGACCGACTTTGCCGGCTCCTCCGGATCGGCCTTGACTGCCGGCTCTTGCTCGATCTCAGACGGGGCGCTCATCCCTGGCGGCGCAAAAGGGATCGCAGATGTGGAGGTGAAGACTGGAAGATCGGCACGCATCATCTTTACCGGAGACTTTTTCATGGGCGACGGTTTGGCTGAAGACAGCTTGGCTGGCGATGGCTTAGACGGCGAGGCTTTGACGGGCGTGTTGGTGTTGGGCGGCATCCACTTCAGGGGTTCTGATGGCGTTACGGACACAGGCGGAGGACCCTCCGGCTGATAGTTGATGAAGACATCCGATGAGGGTGTCGCTACGGTTGGCGACATCGCGGCGGGTGAGCTGGCGGGGAGCTCTACTGAACGAGGGTCAGGGGTGGCGACGAGAGGCATTTGCTCAGTCACTGGAGTTGAGACTTCAGGCCGGCCTTCTGGGACGGCAGGCGGTGACGGGTCTTCAGAAACCGGAGGCTGCGTTGGCGGTGTGGCGAAAGCCTCGTCTTGCGGAGGGGTGACGATCGGAGGTGCCACCGGCGAGTAAGCCTTCTGTGCTTCAAACGGGAAGTCCGTCTTTGCTTCTTCGGTTGGGGGGGGTGTGGCAGCTTTGTCTTGAGCGGCTTGAGCTGCTTGTGCTGCCTTGGCACGCTCTTCTTTCTGTGTTTTCGTGATTAAGTTGATCTTGACCTTCTTCATACCGGCAGTCAACTTGTCCATATCGTCCTCCGATGCAGCAGCTGGGCTCGGCTTTCCTTGAGGCGGCTGAGATGGTCCAGCCTGCTGAGTAGGAGAGGGTTTCGCCGTCGCGGCAGGCTTCTTCACAATTCTGGTGGTTTTGGGGGCTTCCTTCTTGACTGCTGGAGCTCTTGTCTTTTTAACATTCAAAGACGTAGCACTCTGAGTTCTGACACTCATCGCCGTGTCTGGTCGCACACTCATAGAAGTGTCGGGACGCTGAGCTGAAATTCCGTAGCTCTCGGACTCTGTGTTGGGAGCATTCGAAGCCACAGTAGACACACCACTAAGGCGTCGACCGGGTCGCTTAGCTGCTCCATTTGTGTCAGAGGGTATGCCTCGGGACGTTGCCTAGTGTCATTGTCAGTTTGAGTCTATTCGCGATACTACGAGGAGTGACAAACCTTCTCAGATGATAGCGCAGCAGGGCCCGCAACCGTTCTCCGCCGATTCTTGGACTGCTTGTCATCATCTTCGTCTGCATCAACGTACAAGCCAGGCTTCGCTGGCTTCCGCTCTCTCAGAGACATCCGCGAGGTGGGCCTGCTTGCTGGCTTCGGCGCGGGCGCGGGAGCAGGTGCCGGCGGGACAAGATCAGGGTTCAGAATTGACTGCCGGTCTCTCCGAGCCCTTGTCGCCTCTGCATTCAGGTCTTCAGGCTTGCAGCTATCGACTTGACGATCCGACGGGATGAGTAGTCTGCTCAGCTCATGGGCTGCTATGGTCCATGGCACATCAGGGGGAGGTGGTGTTGCTGGTCGCGAATATGGCGTTCCATTCGACAAGCCGGACGCCATCCGTCTCATCCTCGCCGGATCTATGGACTTACCAATCGACGCCTGTGTGGGAGTTGAGTATGTCGGCGGAGTTGAGTGCCGTATCATCTTGGGACTGGCTGGTCTGTTGCCCATAGCAACTTCCAGCTCGTCGAGTTCGGAGCTCGACCACCATGATGGTTTGTAAGGGTGTAGAGATGGTTCGCCAGTAATGGTTGCAGCAATCTGCCCTGCCATTTCGTCGCCGAGCGAAGAGCGACCCCGAGTGGGCTCTTCCGGGGTCTGGTTTCCTGAAAGTCCGCTCAGATGGCTGAAGATGCCAGAGTACAGAGCTCGGTCACTGTAGCCACCTTCGAGCACGCTGATAACCCGCCCATCAACTCCCAAGCCTTCCTCCGCGGCAAGCTTCACGACATCTTGAGCAATACGGGCGTAGAACTCGGTAGGAACGTTCACGTTATGACGTTGCATACCCTTCGTCTCCCACTCACTAGCATCAAATCCAGCTGAGAAGAAGATTGCGGCCTTGGGAGGCATATTCAAAGCGCGAAGGCGAGCCGACTGGTTTTTCAGATACTTGCGCGTCTTCTCCAGAATAACTGAGTATCTGGACTCGTAGAGCTTCCAGAACTCCTTCTCTGAACCATACGATTCCAGGTGGATGTTGTAGATGTTTTGGCCGTGGGCATTGTCAATGCATAAACTGGCGTTCTTGACCTTTTCCTCATCACCCCACTCACAGGGGTACGAGTTGATGTCATGAAGACTAAAGTAGCCGATGGACGCCTTCTTCCACGCTGCCGTGTTCTTGGCCGCATTCACTCCTCGTGAGTTATGCGCCCAGGTGATGGCTTGGGAGCCATCTCCGTGATGGAGGTCGAAATCGATGATAGCGGCATGCGTAAGACCGTGGTTCAGAATACCATGCATAATTCCCACATGAACATTGTTAACCCAGCAAAACCCTGACGGGAAAAAAGCTGAGCAGTGATGTCCTGGTGGGCGTACAGCAACAAAGGCTCTTCGAGGGCCCGATGTGAAGACTCGGTCTACGGCTTCGCAGACGGCACCCAGCGCGCCCTCAAAGGCCTCCAGCGATTCGGAACAGAGATAGAGGTCACCCTCGTGAAATTTTGCAGGCGGTCCGTCTGAACCCCTGTTTAATTCTGGCCTTTGAAGCTCCTTCCCACCAGTCGCCAACTTTATTTCTGCTCCTTCGCACATCATCTTGAGCTCCTCCATCCACTTAGTGCCGTGGACGTTGGTGACAGCTGCCGATGTCAAGGGCAGTCTCCGTTCGGTCTTGTAGATGCGAAACGGAATCGTCGGGATGGTGGAGGGATCCAGACTTGGATGCAGCGCATATGCGCCATCGCAGTGCCGTTCACCAAGTCGCACGTAGGCCATAGCAACCCCCAAAATGCCGGCCTTGATTCTCTCAGGGCGCTCAACAATGGTGCTGAGGGCACCTTTGGACGTCTTGGGTCGGGAGAAACGGTGTCCGTAGCAGGCATCGTGGAGGATGACGAGTGTCTCGGTTGCTCTAGTCGAAGTTGGCGAGTGATGAACTTCTAGTTCGGTCTTGAAGTAATCGCGGGCAACCGTATTCGCTGTGGGCGCAGGCTTGATGTACTCAGGGGGGCTCGGTCGCAAAGGGGATTTGGCGACAGGAGAAGAAGCATGCACCATGCTAGTTCGCCTCGAAGACGCTCGGCTAGGGGTTCGGCTTGAAGAGCCATTCACAGAGTGTAAGGAACTCGTAGAGGTCTTGCGCTGAAGTGTTGGCGTTGAAGATCGTTGCAGCGTCGGCGTGGAAGATCGGGAGCGGGAGAGCTCCCTCGCAAAGGAGGGACTTCGAGACGGGGCTCGAGGACTCGGTGCCGGAGATGTTCGATTTACGGCCGGTCTCATAGGAGACAGGGCACTCGAAGCCCGAGGTGAGTTGCTGGCGGATGATGTCGAAAGGGACAACTGCTTGAGCGAATGCGCCAGGTCCTTGTCTCCATCATGAGAGGATGTATTCAGCAGTGATGGGCGCCGCGATGGCGCTCTGTCGAATGGAGAGGCCATGGCAGAGGCGCAAGACCCATGAAATACTGCGTGGTGTCTCGGATGAATAAGAAGGCTGGGAAAAAGAACAAAGTGACAGGTCGGTAGCGAAAGAAAATGTCTCGAATGTGAAGTTTTGGGTAAGTGCGGTGTGTAGCTGCTTCTGACAACTTGCAGTTGGCTGCAGGGGATGTGGTGGGTAGGGGACTTTACGTATTAGTTGACCGCCCGCCAGCACATCGTCACAGTTGTCACTTGTCCGTCGCGTCTGTTCTGTGTATGTACACAACACGCGTCATAAGGTGCATAATTGCGATCACGTGGGGATCAACAAATAGGGGATGCGCGGGGCATTTCGCCTGATCCCGCTTGGGCTGAGAGAAGCGCAGGCGCTACCGATTCAAGTGGGGTTCGGACGATAGCATGTGGGGGCACGATCGACACTCCCTCGTGCAATGCAACGTCCGCAGTCAAACGTCCACTTACATCTAACCAACGCCTTTGTCTCCAAGAGCTTAATATTCTTCAACGGGCTTCCAAGGGCATCAGTACAAGTCGATATCCCCCATGAGTTGATGAACATCTATCGTCATAATTAAATGCACGAGGAAACTTTCGAGAAGATTACCTAAGAAATCATCAGTGTCATCACCGCAAGATGGTATGAGGTTGGCTTCGAGCAGAGCATGGCATGAGAAAGGGCCAAAAGATAAGCTACCCAGAGGAGAGGTAATATCAATCATTCAAAACTCAAGACTGAGTACTTTACATAAGCATTGAAAATTCATTCATACTGACAAAAGAGTTCACCCCCCCCCCCCGGTGCTGAATTGGGGGCTACATCTCTTGGTGCTCATGCTGGGAAATTTCTGGTGCTCATGCTGGGATTCGAACTCGGTACTCGTATGCGCTTAGCCTGTCGTCGAGTAGGCTGACTGGCGATTGAATTGTTGACCATTAACCACTCCACCACCCAGCCAGTTTGACCTGACCCGTCGACCTGGACGGGCGCCTGCTGGCTGGTGACAGGAATGGGTTTGAGGGGGTATATGAAGGCTTCTCATGGCATGTGTGGAAGGTACGCCTCAGGCCGCCTGTATCTTGCGATGGAAAGGAATGAGCAGGAACGCCAGTACCTCCTCCTTCCTGCCAGGTGAGGTCCCTCGAATACGTAGGTGGTGCGCCTCGTTCCCGTCCATGACCACACCCAAGGTACCTTGAGGTAAGGCTTACCTCCCGTAACCCTGATCAGCTAAAACAGGCATCCACCAACCTGGAGGGCCTTTCTGCGCGTCTGAAACATGAGGTAATTTGTGAGAAGGTACCACAACGGCAATAAATAATGTGTCTTATTGACAGGTCGTTGAGTCTTGAGATCTGTGATACCCAGGAACCCTGACACCGTCGGACTGGGGTTCATCAACGATTGGACTGCCCACTTCTACGGAGTACATTGTTGGAGCCACATCTGAGGACCCAGTTGCTCGGAACCCAGATGACAGGGCAAGGGACGCTAAGACATCTGTTTGGTTTGATTGTCAGTATTACTTACATATCCCCTCTATGCAAACTCAAATTTTATGCTGGTGTTTGCTCATTTCAATCCGCTTTGTACTTGCCCCTTTATCAGACGAACGACTCAGAGGCGCCTCTTCGTACCTGAAATTATGTTCAGTCACCTGCCCACAGCTCTTGACATTGGTATCTCTGCCACCTCTTTGGCTTCTTGCGCGTTGACCGCTACGTGCCATGCTACCTGCTTCAGCCACTGAACCGCAAAATGTTGTGGCAGCAGCAGTTGATTGCCACGGAAGGAGGAGAAAGGAGACAGCCCATCCAGGCCACAAACGCTTGTTTTCCGCCCTTTCAATGCAGCTACCACAAAGTCTGGGCGCCCAATGATTCACTCCTATGGCTCATCAGGGTTTGAGACCACCTGTGAAGGGTGTCTCCGTTAAGGATGAATAAGTCCTCTAGAATAGAGGAAAACCGCATGACTGAATGAGTCCTTCATTCGAGTGGTCTATTAAAAGCACTGTACATTGGTATCAGATTCCTTTTCTCCAATATAGTAGTCTCTCTATACAGAGATAAAGGCAACATCCAAGACACGAAAACTTCCCAAGAGTTGAAGGTCTTCGGACCCCAGGTATAGGAAAAGAACACACAACACACAGGATGTCTCAATCAATACAAGACATACCGGTCGGGGATATCCTCCCACTCGACCATGTGCTTCAGCTCGCAGACCGCTCCAAGTTGCTGGCGGCACGGGTCCAAGAATTCGAGAGAAACGACGGTCTCAAGACGCCAGAGGAACTCAGGGTCTTGACCTCGACTATGGACGAAGTAGAGCAGACTTTGCGGCCTTACACCATGGCTGTGCTAGACTGTATCCTCGGGGATATTTATGAAAACATCCTTCTAGAGCAAGACGGCACAAGGGCGGGCTTTGATGAGGCGATGACGCGGATTACTCGGACACTTCGACCGGCTCTCCTAGAGATGGATTCTGAACCCAACGACAGCACGCATACTTTCAGCCTCGACGAGACTCCCGAGATTGTAGAGAGATTCCAGCGTCTCATCCTTGGGTTTGAGGATCTCGATAGGCTGGTCCATCAGCCTGTACATGTACGTACCTCACCACAATCTTGTTTTCAAACCCTTTTTACTCGTGATAATTGATACTGATCCACCCTCGCACTAGAATACGCTGGTTCTCAGTGAGCAGAAGGTCGAGACATGTGTAGAAGCTGGCCGCGTCAAGGTGCTCATGGGCTGCGTCTTCGACGCCATCGTCTCGTATACCCGCAAGCATTTACCACCTAGGGCATCTACTCATACTGTGGTAGTGACGGTGGTTCGGTGCGAGAGTCTTCGGCGACACGAAGGCGGGGGCCCACCGCTTCTGCGCAGACAAGATGCCACTGTTGGGCAGGAGAGATTCGAACCGCCCAGTCTGCGTAGACAAGATGCTACCGTTGGTCAAGGCAGGGTAGCGTCTTCTGGGCATTCGTCCCGGAATATACCTCGCCTGCGAAGGAGAGATGCCATTATTGGCCAGAACACGGAAGCCACGACTTAAACGAAAGAGTGGAAGCCTTCGAATTTGATCTAGAAATCACTGCTGGCAAGAAGAACACCGCTGGCGAGAACAACGCCGCACCACCGCAGCGACGTGTGGCATATCCTACGATCCAGCTCGGCGAGACCTAACTCAATCAGACGAGATATGCCACGCTGAGAGAAGATGGCAAAGACGGCCAGGCCTGAGCGCGTTCGCCTACCTACCCAAGTATGGATGCCACTGCCGAAGTCCAGGCCGTCTGCATAGAGAGAATGCCACTCTTGGCGAAAACGCGAAGGAGCATCTGCCGAAGAGGAAGATCAATCATCATTGGAATCTCCGAGTGATATGGCAGTCGAGTCAGCGAAGCCAAGCTTAGTTAGACTATTGGCGAACAAGCTGTCTTCAGTGAACCGTAGAGCTTCAGTCAACGTCCAAAAGTCATCATTGACTATGATAGGCTTGTCTGGTTCTCAGAAACGCCGGTTTGCGCCCTGTTTGACTTTTAGCTAGAGTCAAAACCAAGAGAACAGTCGCAGCTCAATAGCATAAGATAGGCAGGTTCTGGGAAGCTCACTTAGTATTAGTGGCCAATGCTAAAAGTCACCAAATTCTTGTTTCGTTATCAACGTGAAGTGCTTTTGTGCGTTTACTCGTTTATTAAATCGACCCCTACTCTCTTCAGAGACTCAACAGCCCACTCTGGATACTTTGACTTGTCGTAGTCGTAAAGATCACCGAAGAACTGCCTAATGAGGGCAGGGTACCTGTCCTCAATAACAGCTTGCCGGATTTCTCTCATGAGGTTCAGCTGATACCAGACGTTGTGTATGCTCAGCAAGTGAGCAGCGACCGTTTCCTTGCCCGCATTATGGTTGATGAAGGCCCTAGTCACACCTAGACCACCCTCGCCCTTTCGGCAACAGATACAGCCACATCCTTCCTCAATAGGGCCGTAGTCATTCTCATATCGCCAGTTACGGATGTTCAGGACGCCATGCTTCGTGATTGCGTTGCCGAACCGGGCCGTTCGCGTTGGCCAGACACAGTCGAACATGTCCGCTCCTAGGGCGACGCTCACAACCAAATCCTCGGGGTATCCGATACCCATGACATATCGAGGCTTGAGATCCGGCAGAAGCTCGGTACACGTCTCGACAACACGGCAGTAATCCGTCTTAGCCTCGCCACCACTCAGACCACCGATGGCGATACCCGGCGTATCGCGCGCCAACATCTCCCTTGTGCACTCCCGTCGCATTTCAAGGTCAAGACCGCCCTGGATGATACAGAATAGGTTCTGGGTCTTTGGGTTCTTGTGTGCCGCGATGCAGCGATCCAACCATCTTACACTTCGCTCCATGGCCTCGCGCATACGGGCTGCGTCGGGCGATGTCGTGACGAGCACGTCGTCGAGCTGCATCATGATGTCGCTTCCAATAGAATTCTGCAAAGACATGGAGTGCTCTGGGGTCAAAAGCATGGGCGAACCGTCATGGGGGCTGAGGAAGCGCACACCCTCCTCAGTGATTTTCGCCAACTTGAGGAGACTGACCATTTGGAAGCTACAGACATAGTCAGTATTCGATGAGGGTCTTCGCAACTCAGTCAAAAAGGTATCCGTACCCTCCACTATCCGTCAAGAGATTATGTTTCCATCCTTGGAGCTTGTGCGCGCCACCGATTTTGTCCAGTACATCTTGTCCAGGCTTCAGGCCGAGATGATAGGTGTTGTTCAGGCACAGACGGCAGCCCGTCTCTTCGAGTTGCTCGGGTGTCAAGCCTTTAAGCGAAGCTTGTGTCGCGACAGGCATAAATATCGGAAGCTGGACCTGGCCATGGGGAAGCGTCAGGACGGATGCGCGGGCTCTCGTTGTCTAGCCTAAACCGTTAACATGCGAACTAGGAATCACATGAAGATTGTGAGTCAAAGTACTGAGGCGGGGGATGCTTACTGAACAGCGAGCGACGAGCTCAAAGGTGAGAGCAGGCGAGGACCCAACATTGGTTGACGCCATCCTTTTCGCTATCCACATGAGCGATCGCGCAGTCCACAGGCTGCGAATTGCGATGTGGAAGGAAGGGGGAAAGGGCTGAGTGCGGGTTGGTGAAATGCAAATCTCCAAATTCGAACCGCTAGACGATGCGCTTTCCCATCAGCGTTGGTGGGGCCGCTGAGTGTCACTCCTGCCGAATGTCCCTCTAGCTTTCAAACCCCGTCCTATGTACCTGACCTTGAGCCCGCTTGAGATACCCGAGGTAGTTTCTATGTGCCTCGATAAGAACTGAAAAGTACTGTTGGAGTGCTTTTATCTGTTTCGAAACTTGCAAATTGATGGAATTTTCCAACTTCGCAAAGTTCCCTCGCTGTCTCTATCACTTGAAGCCACTGGGACTGAAGGCCCGGTGTCTCTTATCCCTTAATTGGTTTAGACTGTGCACCAGACATGGACATTTCGGGTGACAGTGGAGAGAAGTAGGAGAAACGACAGGGGTAGCTCTCATCCAATCAAGTACGCCGGCTTCTTCCGTACTCCAATTGAAATTTCTCACGCAACGGTGCACGCTCGTCACCCATCCCGCGATACATACGACTGACGACGACCAAGCTCAGTAGAGAGCTTCGACAGCCGCCATGTCTGCCCGAATGTCGCCCGGAGGGGCGCTTCTGAGATCATCTCGGATGTTCTCTGTGCCCAAGCCGCTCCCTCAACCTGGAGGTCAAGCAGCTGCCATCGCTCGATACGCATCTCCGACGGCGACCGCGCCTTATCCTACGCACCAATCCATCACCACTACCGAATCCTCGAGGGCCCTTGGTGACTGGGGCTTCAAGCGCTCCCTGCCTCTTCGATCCACGACCAAGTCATCGACCCCCGTTGTCCGCATCAAGGACATTGACTGCTTCGAAAACGTCACCGATTACACCTCCGCCGCAGACCACACCTTGTCTCTTCAGAAGTTCCACGAGCTCAACCTGCCCGTCACACTACCTGGCACCAACCGGTCGCGTCTCGGTGGTATCCACATTGGAGCGAAATCTGTATTTGAAGACGATGGCGACTTCACCACTGTCAAGCGTAACGGCAAAAACGAGGAGAAGAGGTGGAAGTTCCAGGGCCCCTGGCTGGCTGGCCTCACCGAGGGCGAATTCAACGCATACCTGCGCAAGGCCGTCCGCAACAAGCGAGCGTCATTCCGCAACTTCCTGCGGAAGCGTATCGCTTCCGATGAAACGAGCAAGCAGCGTCAGAAATCCCTGGAGGCTGGAGAGACTGCTCCCGCAGCTCTTCGTGCTGGCGACGTAACGGAAGAGCAACTCACAGAGTACATTCGCAAGTTGCGCAACGACCGTATCACCTTGTACTCACTTGTCGGCGAATTCTTGGACCTTGCTCCCCTGAACCCGCCCAGCTCCTTGACCGACTTCAGCAAGTCGACGGAGAAGACCAAGCGCCCTAGCTTGTACGCTGAGCATGGCCCGCCCGCTTCTCATCCCTCTGGTGGTATCTCATACCTCCGCACATCCAACTTCGCCGAGAACCACCCAGTATACGGCCCCCAGGCGCAACATACCCCCGTCCTGGCTCGCATCGTTGCCCCGAGATCAGGAGCCAACAGCGCCAAGCTGGGTGTCGGCGGTTTCATCACCGATGTTCCCCAGGGCGATACGGCTTTCAACCACAGAGCTTTCGTTGGACGCAACAACAAGGTGGCTGGTGTTGTCACTTTCGACCCCGATATCAAAGGAGGCGCCAAGGCCTACGTTTCGCCTACCTCGGCTCGCATAGACTCAGACGGTTGTGTCCAAATCACCGTTGGCGAGGCCAATGAAGAGGCCCAGCTCATTCTGAAGGAGTTGGTTGGAAAGGCCAAGATCTACAACGACAAGACCGAGGTAGAAGCACCCGCACCCGCCCGCAGATTCATCCGAAATGTGCACACCAACAACCAAAGACCTGGAACCAGCGCGGTGGGTAGCTCCAAGAGCTACGGTCTTGACTCTTGAGGGTGGTGAAGATAGCGTTGGAAGCGCGTCTAGTCATAAGACTAGGCGCGAATGAGTCTCGGACAGTAGAGCATGGAGTTGTGTCACACTATGGAGAAACCATCTTTGTATGGCGTTCGCATTTGTGCCGAGTGTACTATGTATGGCATTGTAAAATAAGAAGAATACAACGCAAATTTCGACACTTTCTTGACTGTCTATGATCGTTAAGGAACAATCGTACTACTAAACTAGCCAAGGTAAGGTACTTCAGCTTGGTGCAATACCTAGTTGTAGCTGGCCGTCGGTGGGAATAAAGCCCAGGAAATGTCTTTGACTACTTAGCTACGCTGTCTCAAGATGCTGTCTCGAGAGCGGGAAACGGCGCGACTCTTTCGGTTCAACGCAATTGTGCGCCTTTGGGACGTCTTAGGAGTGAAGTGCTACATATATCGGCTCCGTACCAAGGGGCAACCCCGATCGGGTCCGAGTGGGGTGTTGATTTCTGTCCCGTCCCAACCACCCCAGGGTCACGTGTGCTTACATACTCATGCCCCATGGCCTGTGCACTGAAATTCCCTTGCCCCACACCACGGCCCTAAATTTCGTGTAAAGATATCAAAATTGCATCTGCCCGATGAAACTTATCGTGAACATCTCAACCGACCAGCCTCACTAACCGACCAACTCCCTCCACCCAGCCAAATAACCCCCCTCCGTTGAGTCAGTACCGCCAAAATGGGTCGCGTTCGCACCAAGACCGTCAAGAAGTCCGCCAAGGTCATCATTGAGCGGTACTACCCCAGACTCACCCTGGACTTCGAGACCAACAAGCGCATCTGCGATGAGATCGCCATCATTGCCTCCAAGCGCCTCCGCAACAAGGTCAGCAAACTAAATCCACCCAGACGCAACATACGAGTTGGACGAACGAGCGGCTCCTTGAGACCGCTTCCAAACATCGATGTTGGGAATACGGAAAGGTTGAGAGGGCAAAATTGCTGACTGGAGTGAAATTACAGATTGCTGGCTACACCACCCACTTGATGAAGCGTATCCAGCGTGGTCCCGTCCGCGGTATCTCCTTCAAGCTTCAGGAGGAGGAGCGTGAGCGCAAGGATCAATTCGTCCCCGAGGTCTCCGCCCTCGACTTCACCCAGAACACTGAGAGCGGCCAGCTCGAGGTCGACGTCGAGACCAAGGACCTTCTCAAGCACCTCGGCGTACGTTTCACCCACACCTCTTTCACACCACACTGTGGAACGAAGAACTATAATACTGACTGGTGTGCTTCTGCAGTTCGACGCTATCCCCGTCAACGTCACTCCCGTCGGCCAGACCCAGGTCCAGGAGCGCGGTGGCCGCTTCGGTGGCCGCCCCCCTCGCCGCGACTAAATTTCAGTCGTGGTCGATTGTGGATAAGGAAAATTGGGTGGTTTTTAACGGACTTTTACGGCAAACGGCATATGATGATACACATTGCTACAGGCGTCTTACGGACGGTAGTGAGTTCACACTAGGAACTTCCACAAAGAAAAGTTCTGTTTTCCCACACAAGGTGTCGCCGATTCTCTAGGGTAATTCCGGAGATGACGCTTGACTGCCAAGCTTCTATCCCTCTTTTGCGTAATGTGATGCTGCCCCTCTGACCTTATGGCTCAACTGAGCCTCGCGTTGAATTGCAGCTAAAGCGCTGCCACGCTTGCTGTGCACAAGTGATGTTATATTTGAATCGGTATGTCTTTGGGTATCAAATCTATCTATACAGAGCAACCGATCATTGCGAAACTTCAACGGGCTCCCCCACGCTCCAATTACCACTGGTATCCTACTACCGGTGGGACTACATCATGACATTTCTTGGTCACGTTGTGCCTCGAATTGGGAAGCCTCAGCAATGGCCTGCGCCTTACCAGCTCCCGGTCTGTATCCCTCAACAAATAAATGGGAGTTGTCTGGATCTCCAAACACCCCATGCTCTGTTGGTGGCTTGACCTCCCTCTCCCTGATGGCAAGAGTGAAAGTATTACCAGGCTGTCCCGTCTCCCGCGTCTCTCCTCTCTCCAAGGCCAATGTGGCAGACTCGTCGGCCGCCCTCCTGCCCTCCTCCAGTTTCAAACTTGCGAGGTCGCGCGAAGCCAGTGTTGCAGGGTCCTCCTGCCTCGCCTTCTCCTCTCCATACAGCTCGATCTCAATGTCCGGCAACCCCGCCCGCTCCCACGCAGCCGACTCGTTAAGCTGCACCTTGATATACATCGCCCTGCGCTGGCAGTCCTTGGAGCACCACTTCTCCGATTCCTTGCGGTTGACGATATCAAAGTCGGCTTTGCCAAAGTTGACGAGCCTCCACTCGCCGCCCTTGGAAGCCATCGGCTTCGGTTGCGCGCAGAGGGTGTATCCGCACAAGCCGTTGACGTTGCGCTCCTCGATGAGATCGTCGTAGTCGGAGGGCTGGAAGAGGCGGATGCCGGCCTTGAAGTCGGCGACGTCGCGCGGGGAGGGGTTGGCGGCGGAGAAGGTTCTGCTGCCGCGCTCGGTGGGGTACTCGGAGAGCTCGGTCAGGCTCTCGAGGATCTGGAGCTCGAGGTCCTTGCGCTGCTGGATGATGCGGGCGTGCTGGAGGGCGATTTCGCGGGGGTCTTGTTTTCGGGGGTTGAGGACGGCGTTGGCGGCGCCGCTGCCGGAGGCGGTGGCTCCGGCTGCTGCCTTTTTGAGGATGCCCTTCAGTGGCCGGGTATCGGTAGCCATGGTGGATGTTGCTGTGTACGTGAGATGGTTTGTGGGAGGGGTTCGTCTAGCTGGTGTGCGGCGCGTCGTCTTATGTCAACGGTGGGAGCTTGTAGCTCGGCGATGGAAGGTGAAAGAGCCTTTGAAAAATAACTATACGTTGCGCGGAGGGGAAATGTTGTCGTGGCTACGCGTGTGAGACAGACTGGAATTAAGATACGATGTGTGGTAGTGAGTGTAGATTGAAGACGTGAACAAGTGAAAATTGTTAAGCAATTGGAGAATGTTCGATCCCGCAAGTGTTGCTGTCGGGAATAGACA